GGGGTCGCGTCCATACGGGACGAGAAAAACCCCCCCCGGAGAGGTCGTTTTCTCCCCGCCGATTCAGGCGGGTAGTATAGACCAGACCTGAGGCAGAGAGAGGTTAAGTGACTTCTCTATTCCTAAAACTAGACTGCTTCTTCCCCTTATCCCAACACCAGGGATCGGGTCATTGTGCAAGCATCTGCCATCTTCATCTGTCTGAGGAGGCACCAAATTCCATCTGCTTACTACCTTCTTTGGGCTAATCCATTCATCGCTTCCTTGGCTTTCCTGAAGATCTTTCCTACCCTCTCCTGCCATGTTACCTTCACCAGTTCCTAAAACTAAAATACTGAAGTACAATAGCTAACAGAAACTGAGCGTAAAGTTTGATCCTGAAATATTACATTTATCTTTGTTGATCAGTTGTCATCAACTTTGACTAAGAGATTGCTGATATAGGTCAGTCAAGACATAAATAATTAGCTACCAGAAGGTTTATAACTTATGTCTGGTCACAGATAAGGCTAAATAGGGATAGATAGAAATACAGCAGACCCAGGTTGTGGCAAGCAAGAATTCTTCTGCCCACGGACTACCAGCAACACACTCAGTTCAATTATCTTAATTAATCTGACCCTACTAAGTATATTTGAAGTTACATGCATTACCAAAGAATCAGTTTATAAAAAGAAAAAAATCAGTTAAACTCTTGTGATTTGCTGAAGATAACAAATCCATCAATCAACAAGCTTATTGCAGTGTGTTTGTGATGTATCTCGCTTTCTTATTTTATTCAGTTCCGATAAATCATCTTGCAGTCAATAAAAGCTGTGGTTTACTCACAACCCAGAATGACAGCAGGATAATAATAGTTAGTTCTTAGATAGTGCTGTTCATCCATAGATCTCAAAACACTAAACAAATGATGCATATCATTACTCATTTCACAGAAGAGTCTGAATCTTTTTGTATATCTAACTAAATGTATCTATATCTATTTACATATTAAGAATCATATCTTTTTAGGGAAGAAAATGACATAGCTTTAAGTCTAGTTGGGCTATTACACTATTTTCTAGAAAGAAGATTTGTTTACCCCCAGAAACTCCTAGTGCACTGCTGATTGAGAGTGCCCCAATTACCATTATGCCCTGATCTGAGGCAAAATTCCTTAGTGTTGTCAGAGGGGAGATATGTCTGAGACAAGTAAAGACTGCAGGATCAGGCTTCAGAAAGAAAAAGTTACATCTGGCATTTTTGGATGAATACAAATGCATCAAATTCAGCATTTTCCCAGCAGACATAACATTTCATTGTTTTGTGTCTTTTGTGGCACTGGAATGTTTTTACAGCCTTTGTCATCAGAAACCACTTTTGGCTGGGCAGAGCAGCATGGCCCAACTGTTTGCTCTCAGAGGTATCTAGTCTATCCATTTCTGATCAGCTATGAGAACTCTCTTCCTTCATTTGTCTTAGCTGCAAACTAAGCTAATGATGCAGTTAAAATCTAACCAATTAATAACAGAAAAAAAACCCTCCCAGCAGGTCTGTCCAGTTCATATTAAATCTAGAACTCAATAATAATGTTCTACTGTAGGGACATGTGATAACTTTTGAAATCTGTTCAGGATCTTGCTTTCTGCCTGCTTTTGTGCTTCAGTTTAAAATCTAGTGGCAGCATTTTAAAATAACCATATCCACTGTTCTATCATCTGTCTTAGCCAAAAATCACAAAGATTTTCTGGAGTTCCAGCCAAACTTTCCGCACCCTGAACACTTCTGACCTTTGGACTATGCTAAAAATTGATCCTGAATTTGCCTGACTCTTGCCAATTGTCTCAAGCTTTGATTGGAGCTTTTGGAAACCCTGTTTAAATCAGAATTTCAAAGATAAGAGTCAAAAGGGAATTGAGAAGCAAACCTCATGGTGAGTTTCTATTTAGGAGCTGAATGACATTAGAATAGGGTGTCCCATTTGCCAACTACTTTAGCCCCTTTTTCTGTTTCCCAATTATCCATAAACAGGAGGATTTGCATAGCAGCAGATTCTCCACCCTCACTCCTCTTCTAGCCAACCTCACAGCAAGTAGGGAGTTTGGGTGGGGTAGGATTGCAGCTTACGAAAGGTCCACACAGTCGTATTGAATCCTTCCCTCCTGCCTCCATTTTTACAATGGTTCTCAAACTGTGGGTTGGGACCCCAAAGTGGGTCGGGACTCCATTTTAATGGGGTTGCCAGGGCCAGCATTAGTCTGACTGTGGCCTGGGGCTGAAGATGAAGCCTGAACCCTGCCACCCTGGGCTGACGCCGAAGCCCAAGGGCTTCAGCCCAGGGCGGGGCTCAAACTCAAGCCCATCTCCGCCGAGGGTTATGTAGTAATTTTTGTTGGCACAAGGGTGTCACGGTGCAATGAAGTTTGAGAACTGCATTCCATTGCCAAAGGAACATCCACAGTCATGAAAGAAGGTGTTGGACTTGATAATATTTATACTGAGTAACGGTCACCTAAGTCACATGCTATTATGTTTGCTCATTTATTGAATGACTGAACAATTAAGAACCGGAGGGCTTGTGGTGAAAACGTCTGTACGAATACATATTTGTATGGGTATTTATTTTTTTCACAAAAAAGTAAAAATATCATGATCACATGCATGCAAGCTTGAAAACAGTAAATCAAAGTGACTGTGAATACTGCGGGTGGGAGTGCATTCATGAATTTTCTTTTAATGAATGTTTGCAGATACCTCTTTCAGTATTCACTTTGCTTTAGATGGCTCCATACAATTTACTGCTGTAGCTAGTGTTACAAAGCAAGAATTTTAACTAGGGATTTGGCCAAACCAAAGTGCCAGATATGAACAACCCCAAACTGTGGAAACTTGTTGACATCTGGATCTAGAGTTTGTGATTCAGGGCCATCTCTAATTTTAACACATTTGGATACAGACTGTTGAAAGACACTAGGGCAAATTCCTCTCTCATTTATACCACTATAAATTCAAAGTAACTCTGTTGATTGCAGTAGAGTTTCTCCAGATTTATAACAAGTTAATTAGAGTAAAATTTGGCCCCGTATACTTTCCTTTCCTTTAACTTTTTGGAAATTGCTTGACAGCAAGAAGTTCCTTTCTGTGATGTGAACTTCCTCATCAGTATAATTAATCCCCACTTGGACACTATTTTGTCTTCCTGTTGGGTCACCCTGTTCTCCTTCAGTCCCCGGGTTATAGATTCGTTTGTTGTACTCCTGTCAGCATAGCCATGATGAAGTCAGGTTTCTTAACACAAATGTATTAAAGCCAGCTAAATTAAACTAACTGCAACATCTTTTCAACATTTAAGTCTCCAAAAGAAATGTCCAGGGGCCAAAAATGGTGGTGAATTGTCTGTCTCCATTTGAATTAATATCAGGCAGATTAGAATTAACTGTTCTGGACTGAGTAGATGGTATTTATTTGAGGATGTCAAACATTCTGACAGAACCACATTGTGAGTAGGAGATGCATTTTTTTATCCTCATGAAAAATTACTAGTATTAATCAATTTTTGAGACACTGTAGCTCAGCAGAAGTAAATTGCCCTGTAATGGAGTTTGACTTTACAGATGTTTCGTCAAAGAAGAGAAATAGTCTAGTGATCTGTGCTCAGGCCTAGAATGTCTGAGGTCTAATTCTGGTTCTGACATCAACTCTTTCTGTAGCTTTGGGAATTTCACAAAACCTCTTAGTTGGGGTACTAATAGTTACCTATCTCAGAAGAGTGTCATGAAGATGAATTAGGTAAACATAATTCTCAATGTATAGTGCATGCTGTGGCTAAAATATGGCTCTTGTTCAAGAATCACACCATCTGAAAAGCAGCTTGCTCTGGGACAGAATGAGCAGTGCTCATTAACCCCACACAAGGATTTAGGATCAGAGATGAAAAGGAATAATATATTCCCAATTGAAACTACCAGGGGAAGGCACATAAAAACAACACATACCCAGCTGACAACTCCGGCATCCATCTGCACATGGCACGCAGTCTTCAGAGTTAGGGTCCTCCACTTCACCTGCGCATTGAAGATTCCAAGTTTAGGGTTAATTCTAGCAAAATGAAGGTCAATATTTAAAGCATTCAGCTGGGATACTGAAAATAAATGTATCAATCTGGCCAAACCCTAAGGGTACTACTCATACTTGGAATCACTCATTTTAACTCAGTGTGATTCTTCTCCCACTTACACTTGTGTAACTCCATTCACCTCAAGGGACTGACTCCCAATTTACATGGATACATGTGAGAGGGGAACCAGAACTTGAATTAAGGACCTTAGGATTTGGTCTTTTTGTGTATCAGAAAACCAGGGCCAGATTTTCAACTGAGCATCTGGCCCAGGGGTATTATTCCTACTGGTGGGTGCTTACCTTCTCTACACTCGTGCTTCAGACACCTGTTATCAGCTAGGTAATATCCTTTGAAACATCTGTTGCACTGGGTGGAGTCGAGGCACATTTCACACTGCTCTAAGCAAGACAGACAGGCGCTGTTCTTCTCTGAATGGTAGTAGCCTTGTGGACAACTCTCTCTGCACTCTCCCATGTACAGGAAACGTTTTTTCCCTCTCTTGTCTGTGCAACAAAAACACAGTGGGAGAAATAGATCAGCAGTAAAAGAGACATCATTTAGCTAAGGCAGAAAAAGTAGTGTTAACATTGAACACCAGAGCTTCAGCTGATGGTCAATTAGTATAGCTCAGTTGAAATAAATGAAATTATTTCACCCGTTTACACCAACTGAGGATCTGTACCCAACACTTTCCACAGTGTTGGGAAATTATGGCACTAAAAATTTTATAACAGTTATTTCAAGTGTACAAACACTATAAACACCCCACAATCCTCAAATATGGACAGAGACGCTTCCATGATTGGGAGACTCACCCTGAATTCTCCTCAACACATATGGGTGTGACAGAAGAGGCCCCTCCCTGAACTTGGATATCTTTCACTTAAACTTTGGGGAAGCTTGAGTCTTCATTGGAATCTTCATCCTGATTACACTGAATCTTGAAAGTTTGGATTTTTGGATTGAATTTAGAAGTGTAAGCTTGTCTGTTTTATACTGAAGCACCAGTGATCTCTAGTGTTTCAAGGTAAAAACTGGCAGATCCACTAGATAAAAGCTCTCCCATGTCTACTCCACAGAGTCATTTCAGTAGTGAAACCTCTTCCCTCAGTCTACCCCACCTCCCGCCTGAAACAATGTAACTTGTGAAAGCAGGTATAACTCAGGGCGCTTGCATTGCAGTGTAGGGAGCTCTTTACAAGTCACCTTACAATACTATTATTACTGTGCTAACTGTATTATGTTGCATCAATATTTTCCCCATGACAATTTTTGAAGCTGCAGACAGAACCTAAATATTATTAATGGGTAGTTGCTCTGTATAAAAAGAGCCATTCATACTCTTTTATTTTTACTTTTTGTGTGTGAATTTTGGTTATTCATGAAAGTTGCAGAATGGATTCTAGTCTACTCAGGTCCTGATACTGTGACTGTTACCATGGTGTCTGCCTCTCTGGGTGCCCATAGAGATGGAAGTTCTATATTGCTGCCCAAAATAGGGGCAGAATGGGCAGCAGCGGTGCAAGTTTTTCCCCACACTGTTGTGATCCTGACAAGAAGATACTGCTTATAGGGGTAAAAGTGTGGCTTAGCCTCTTTGTCCATTTGGTCTCAGCCTCTGGAATGAGACTGCCAATGTGGGTACCAATTAGTACATATTGTAATAGTGTTTTTTGTGATGTAGACATCTATGTATTGAGAACTGGACTGAGACCATCAACTCATGTATTTCACATTTGCCATGAAAGTGTTAGTCAGATGCGAAAGATTTGGGGTCACCACCAACCTGGTCTGGATTTGAACTGGCTTCCTAGAAGTGAAAGGCTCCATATTCCCTTATCAATACTCTGAGTCAATCCATCAATAACAAATTTTAACTCAATTATTTTAGAAAAAATGTTATTCAATTAGTATTTGGGGATCTTAATGGAAAATAATGCCTAATGAAAAGAGAGATTCTTTGGAAGATGATCTACACTTGAGAGATGTTAAGCCTGTCAAGGCAAGTGATTCAGATACCTTTGTCCTTACGGCAGCCTTGTGCCCTGATTGCTACCACTTGGTAGGGCAATGGCCTGTATTACTTGCACAGTCTGGCTGTATTAGCTAATTCAGCACTCCTGTCAAGCTTTTGCTGAATTTATGATGGTGTAAGTTTTGCTTGCTCATTTAGTCATAAGTGATAATTAGAAATACCAACAGATGTATAGAATATTATGTATAAATCTTGTAGCTGCTTGATTGTTTGTAACCCGATCTTGATCTGTGTTTAACATGACAATTAAGGATTGATTCCTTACTTTCTTAGCACTGATTTCAGGACAGTAGTTTCTCCATATTATGGTAGCAATCAAGTTTCATTAGAGAGCCCTATTTTGTGCCCCTGTAATTTTGGTCCATTGGTCCATAGAGTTTAAGTACCTCTGACAACATAAAATTGTGATTTGAGTAACATATTGTCAGGAAAACATTATTCAAGAAAATATTGTGACAAAGGCACATAATCCATTCCTGTCTTTTCAGCAGCTGAATACTCTTTACTTTCAGTAACTTTTTAGACTATACCCCCAGAAATCTAACAGATGTTCATGTGCAGTACTTTGGGGAAATCTACCATGCTCTACCGTAATTTCAAAGTAAAAAAGAATTCCTTCTACCATGGAATTCCCTGTATTGTCTGTTTAAATATAATCTGTTAAGAGATTAGATTTGATTCCTTTTGTGTGGATGGTAGCATTCTCTTTAGGAATATGGAAGTGGGTTCACTATACATCTGCATCTGACCTACATCTGCTTTAGACAGGATCCTGGTGATCCCATATCTCCTATTATCTACCTTGTTCTGCAATGACTGTTACTGTTCTGTCCTTAGCTCCCAAAGAGCAGCATTTTCTGAGACTTACACATTCTCACTGTAATAACTATTTGAAACATACATTTTTCACTGCTAAACAGGAGTACCGGGGCTGAAACATACATGTATTCCTACCAAAGTTGGTTGAAGTTTGGACTTTGGAGTCAGGCTTGAATCTACCTCTGTAATGTGCCTAAGCTAGAACACTGAATTAGAAATAGCCCACACCAGCTGTGGCAAAGTTCAGACTTGGGTCAGAATCCGGATCTGAGCTTCATGACTCTGACACATGGCTCACCTTTGAATATAATTTAATATATTTCTTCCAAGCAGGGGGGCAGTTAGAAGCAGATGGAAGATGAAGCTATTGTGGCTATTATACATGTTTCATTTAAGTGAATTGTGATGAAAGAGCAGACTTTTTTCTTGTCTGGGTTAGCACTAAAAGGCTTCCAGGGTAGACTAGACCGCCTAGTGCAGCTTTTCTATTTCCAAACTTAGGTTTTCTGTTTTATTCAACCAAAAACATTTCCTTTTTAATTTTTTTTATTTTTGCTTCTCTAAAGTCAGGCATAATTCCAAATACATTAGGCTGTCTTTGTTGGATAAATAATGAACTGACCCAACAAGAACAGAATACATCTGTATTTTCAAGAGTGTTTTTCATACAAACTGAATTCCAGGACATTATACCGAGTTAAATCATGAGGATAGCCCGAAACAGTGGCAGAAGTTCCACTGACATCAACATGGCCAGGATTTGTCCTGAGAGCAGAGGCAAAGAGAAATTAAGAGGCAAAGGAAAAAGTTGTAAGAAGAAATCTGACTTACCTGTACCACAAGCAGTACATTTGTTTGGTTCACTTCCACTGCAATCCATGCAGGTATGATGGCACAAATGGCATTGGTTGTTAAATTCAAATTTCCCTTTGGGGCATTGCAGCACACACCGTCCATCATCAAAAAATCTGTGGTGGCAGAGAGAGGCAAAAATTAGAGTCTATAGCTGTCTCTTCATCTTTAAAACAAACAAAAAGAAAACGTCCCCCCAGGTATATTTATTACTTATATTTTTTTCACGTTGCTTTTAATTTCCCATTGATTTTCTTTACAACATTTGGTAAGATAAAGTGGGAGGCCAACTAAGCCTTTAACTTCAATCTTATACTTCAGATTTGAATTTGACTTTTTTTCCCCACAGAAAATCACTTATCTTGATGTCTCTGTACCACAAGCTCTGAAATGTTCCTTATGTCTGTTAAAAAGAAGCCAAGAACATATTTCTGTCACAGAAGTTATCTGTGAAAAAATCTAAGCCTCTGTCAAAGCTTTCTATTTGTTTTACTTTAAAGATTTGCTTTGAACTGCCCATGGGACTATTCATAGTGCATAAAGTTAAACATAAATGTGTAAATCTTCACAGGATTGGGGTGTTAGGGGCTGTCCCCATATGAGGATTATTGTTGAATCCTATGAGGGTTATTGCTGAATACTTTTTAATGCTGGCTAATGACACATCTTCTCCAAAACTTTTTTGATGAGTCTGAAGGAACTGAGTGAATGTGGTAGCAACATAACTGGCTCAGGTTCACCATTATTTTATATTTAATGGTTTTAATCTTAATGGAGGAAAAGATACATATTATAACGACGTGGCCTTTGAGTAAATGTGGAGAAAGATATATGAAAGAAAAAGTTGAAGCAGTGGGCTAGAACCTCAAGATGTCTTAAATATAGCTAAGGAAAATAATGGAGAGGACTCCGTATTGCCTCATGCAGTTCTGTGCTTAAATCTTTGGCTGGACTGGCATTTATATATGTGGAACCTGATCTTGATATGTGTTTAACATGACAATTAAGGATTAACTCCTTACTTTCTTAGCACTGATTTCAGAACAGTAGTTTCTCCATATTATGGTATCAAGTTTCATTAGAGAGCCCTATTTTGTGCCCCTGTAATTTTGGTTTGGTGTGACAATCAACCAGATTTGTTCTGAAGGGAGATTGTCCTCAAATTCTGCAGAAACAATTTGTCAAATGGTGTTTTAGTTGGAAATCATCTCAAAATTACCCTGATTTGCAATTATCAGGGGGTAGCCGTGTTAGTCTGTATCTACAAAAACAACAAGGAGTCTGGTGGCACCTTAAAGACTAACAGATTTATTTGGGCTAAAGCTTTCGTGAGTTAAAACCTCACTTCTTCGGATGCAAAAATCAACTGATTTGCAATGTTGATAATTGTGGGGATGGACAAACATGGCTGTAATGGCAAAACTACTGCTGTGTGGACACAAATTGGATAGTGTTACTCGTATCTTTGCCTCTGATTGGTTCCAACATCTCCATTATATGAAATGTGAAGAGGTCTTTAGCAAAACTTTGAAGAACATGACCCGAACATTGAATTGATAATGAAACCAAAGGAATTTTGCATGGCTTGGTATATAGTTAGTGAACATTTTGCACAGCTGTGCTGCCACTGGTGACAATGCAAGTCTCTTTGCTTAATGAGAGGTTCTCATTCTGTGGGTCATCGATGCCTGGGGGAGGAACAGTAAATTTCAGGGTAGGGTGCAAGTTTGCTCCCATTTCCTGCCTCTTGCCTTCTGCTGAAGCAAGTTTGCCCCAGGGGCATAGCCACGCATGGGCCTGGATGAACTGCGGCCCACCCACTTAGCATCCAGGCCCACCCAAATCTGAGCAGGGGTATAGTGCTGCCACAGTGCCCCGGAGCATCACTCGAGCACCTGAAATCCAGGATGGAGCTATGTGCTCGCACTTCAGAAAGCTATGCTCCGGCAGCTCTGCCTTGCCATTTTCTGAGCCACCCTATGTGCGTGCCCCGCTCAGCAGGTGAAGCCCTGTGTCTGGGGGTACCAGAGCTAGGAAGAGGGTGTGGCATTGGGGGAGAAGCTGAGCTAGCACAGTCTGTCATTGTCCATCCACCCAAAAGTCAGGGCCCACCCAAATTTCCACTCCCACTCCTAGCTATGCCACTGCGTTGCTCACTCAGTAGCAAATGATTCTCCAAGAGTGCCCCATAAATAAGCAGTTCCCAGGATGCTTCCTTTGAAAAAGTTTAGGAACAAACATATAGGTTCGACGGGGAAAAGTTAAGAACACTAGATGGTTGGAGAGAAAGAGACTCGCATACCTACACATGGCATTCAGTAGACTTTATCTCTGTTCAGGAGGCTGACTGATTTTTATCAACAAAGCTAGTACAGTAAAGAGAGGTTTCAGAGTAGCAGCCGTGTTAGTCTGTATCCGCAAAAAGAACAGGAGTACTTGTGGCACCTTAGCGTATGCTCAAATAAATTTGTTAGTCTCTAAGGTGCCACAAGTACTTCTGTTCTTTTTACAGTAAAGAGAGACCCTCTCTTGCCCTTGTCACAATGTAGTCCTCATGATAGAAGCTTACAGCTCAGATCCTGATCCTGAGCTCTATAGATCATGGGATATAGATTTACAACTGAAGGAGAAGTTGTTTTTTTAATTGAGAACTAAATTGTTTGGCTGGCAAAAAACAAATTACCCTGCTGCATTAAAAACAGATAATGGAATCTTAGGTTTCCGAACAAGGGAACAGTGCCTAGAGCAGATTTTCCACAGAGAATGGGGATGTTCAGTGTTCTCATTTTCATAGGACTTCAGAAGGAAAACACAATCTTTTCATCCTTTGTAGAAAAGAAAAAGAATCCCACTGTAGGAGATCTTCTCTCCTGAATTGTAGTCTGTATTAGAGCACCATTCATCACTCTCTTCAGTGTGAACCATTTAGAACCATAGGACCCTGGAGACTGAGACTTAAATAAGTCTATTTCCAATATATTACAAATAGTATCCACTGGAGATATTTTTCCTCCTACAGTTTCCATTTGGATTTTTCTTTTATCTATTTTTATTTTTGTTGTTTCTTTTTATTTTTGTATTTTCTTAGTAGATCTTTTACGACAGACAGAAGGATAAAAATCCGACTCTCTTTGGAAGCCCTAGATGTAAAAAGAAAAAGCAAAAACTGGTGAGGGACTTGTTACAGTGAAATAAGAGCTTTGGAGTTTAACTCCCCTCTTCTCCAGTTGTATTATGTAGTGTAACCCTGTGTAAGGAAAAGTACCTCTGCAAATGACCTACGTGTATATTCTAGAATCCCAAAATTGGTGACAGAAGTGGAATAAATGTCTAGCTCCACACAAAACTGAGAAATTCTGCTTGAAGCCAAATAGGAGACAACTAAAACTCTGGTTATGATCATAGCCTCCCAAAGGCCATGGACACTCAAGAAAGAGAGGAGCTTGATCATTACAGACTGGAACATCTTGGGGGTTTTGCGTAATTTGTTATAATTAGATCACCTTGTACCTTTTGTTGTGGAACAATAAACAAACAAACCTCCCCTCCCCCACAATAATCTGTGTTACAGTAACACAGAGGTTCCAATTTACCACCCAGAAGCATAGAACTTCAGCTCTGAGCCTGACACTCTGGCCGGACACATTGGGCTAAATTAATCCATGGTATAACCCACCTAAAGGCAGTAGAGTTGCTTTAAGGATGAATTGACGCCACTGGGTGTTTCTTGTTATTTCAGAGGTCTTCTCATAGACACTGGTGTTATAAATTGTATGTTTACTTGTTTTTTGGTGTGTTCTTATACCATGGAAAAAGCTTATAGGAGTTACAGTTACACCAGAGCAAAACTAATGTGAGTGCAGAGTTAAGACTACACCTTCTCTATTAGAAGAACATGGGATTTAAAACAAGAGGCTATAATAGCTCCCTTGTATAAATAGCAGAGGTGACCCTGAGCTGCAGAATTCATATTAGATTCAAACTTTCCCAAAGTTTGAGCAGTGGTTCAGGTTGGGATTTAGTTCAGGATCTGCTCTAGTAAGGAAGTATTTAGATATATTTTAAATAAATAATTATGTCTTTAGTTAGACAATAATCCTTTCAGGACCTGTATGGTAATTGATATCATGCCAGGTTACCATATAAATCAAATATGTGTAGTAAAAAACAATGCAGATGTGGCAAGTCAAAAATTGGACTCCGAGTGTCTGAAGATATGTCTACACTGCAATTGGACACCTGCAGCTAACCTATGCCAGCTGACTTGGGCTTGTGGGGATCAGGCTAAGGGTCTGTTTAATTGTGGTGTAGATGTTCGGGCTCTGGCTGGAGCTGGCTATGGGACTCTCCTCCTCCCCCTTTAGGGTCCTAGAGCCTGGGCTCCATCCCGAGCCCAAACATCTACATCACAATTAAACAAACCTTTAGCCCAAGCTCGCATCAACTGGCACTGGCCAGCCACAGGTTTTTAATTGCAGTGTAGACATACCCTGACTGTCACTGATCAGTGTCAGCCTGTGTCCTTTGTGGCATGTTAGAGGCCAGTACCTACTACCAACAGTTATGGTTTGCCTGTGTGTCAGTCAGGATTAGCTGATTTCATTTATTTAAGGAAAAAAGATTTTCTGCCCTCAGGATCCATCTGGGCATGCACTAGTTACTTGTGCAAGCAATTGGTCTCATTTGTGCCCCCTTTGTTCTCCTTCCTTGATCTAATTTTGTTTGTCATACTCGATTCACCTCATTGGGTTAATTACAGTCTCTTTTTGTGTGTTTGTACATCACCTAGTACAGTGGGGCCCTGATCCTGACTGGGGCGTCTACCTGCTACCACAATGTAAATAAATAACAACAACAACAATCACTTACCTTGTGGTTGCACAGCCGATACAGTCATTCTGAGTTGGCCCTGTGCACTTAGAACAGGATGCTTCACAGAACAGACACCGATCCACACGCTCGGCATATTCCCCTGGCAAACAAAACCCAATTGTTTATTTAAGACCCACAGATCAAATAAAAAACTTTGCCCAATATGTTGCTAATTGAAAAGAATTAGACACCAAAGTTGTTTTGAATTTCTGAAACCGGCAGGTCTCAGTTGTGTCAACAGGGAACCAACTGCTTGTGCCCCGGGTGCTGGAGCATGGTGTCTTTCGGAATGATGAGCCCAATGACTTGTTTTCTTTGAGTCTGCATGAGTCTTATGAAGAATGCCTGTAAGTGGCTGAATTAGCCCAGCTCCTATTGGCTCAGCTGGGGACTGCAGGAGGGGCTCTATTCTAGTGCACCTTGGAGAAATAGATAAAGGACACTGCATGAAGGGTAACGGTTTGAGTTGTGTGTGGGATGCATGAGGAGTGAGTCCAGACACCAGATGGGATTTTGAAATAGGTTAGGTGCAGTACACTGTACTGTTTGGCAACCATCTGGTAGATACAAGATACATCGCAACCATTCAGCTGCCTGTCTGCATTTACTATTTCGAACATGCTAACCACTGTAGTATCTCCATAAACATTTTGGTGACAAATTTAAAAGGCAAATCTCAAGCAACTAAATGCATCCAGAATTGATTGGGAATGGCTTATCATTCCTGTGGATGACATAACCACAAATAAAGTAATTTCTTCTGAAAATGTTGGGGTTTAATTCTGATTTCACTTAGCTCATTTTGCCCCGGTGTAACTCCATAGATTTAATACCTAGCTCTTATAGTGCTTTTCATCAGGAGATTTCAGTGGAGTCATTCCTGATTCTCACCAGCGTGAGATCAGACCGAGTCCTCTTGAGTCTCTCACGTTTACTATGATCATTCAGATGTGTTGGCATGTTGTGTATTTGGTGATATTTTCTCTCTCTAGCAGAAACACATTCAAAGTGGTTGCAGAAAGATGTCACCTATATAGGAGCCATTAATGGGCTGCAGCAAACTCAGGATGAATCCCTCTGGTGCCAATACAGCATTCTTACACTGCCAGCTTACAAGCCCCAGTGTAAGGCATGTGCTGAGGTCATATTCGTAGCATGTGCCACCACAGAGATCCTAGAAGACTGCATTGCAACTCATAGGCAGCCAGGGATGGGTTTCTATATAAGAAAGCCTGGACCAGCCCAAAATCAGGAGGGCACAATGGTCCTCTCTGTCCCCCTTATCTCTCCGCTTGGACTGTTCCTTCAGTGCTTGCCACTTGCTCAGGGATGTAGACACTCAATTATCTTTAAAATTAAAGAGAACTGGGTGTTCCAGTCCTCTCAGTGACTTTGAAAATCTCATCCTATATGAGCAGCGAGACTATAGCTGCTGCTGCTGTGGTGCTGTAATACATGACATGTCCTTTTATTTATTGGGTGCTCATTAAACCATGGTTACTGTGCTGCATATCTATGCTCCCCATAACTTGTAGAGTAGATAGAGTCATTTGGCAAGTGACATGCCAGCCGTGTGTGTATTAAGCACTGTGTGGGGGCAGTAAATCTATCGAACAGTTTTATAAGGCCCTAGATTAAATAAGAGTGCCTTATGTTATTTGGTTAGCAGGTAATCTATGCTAGTCAAGTATAGATATTTGACTGAATTTACTATCTGCTGCTTCATTCTTTAGCAGCTGATTTAGCTGAGGATATGGTCTGGGCAGTGAACCCTGGGAGGTAAATGAAGGCTGCAAATTCTGTGAATACCCCTAGGTGGAGATTTCTTCCCACTTGCATTGCTGCCTTGAAACTTGGGCTGTACATGTGCATTGTGGGACTTAGGACACAGAAGAGTGGAGTGTCTTTTGGTTTTGGCTATCTCTGTTTTGCTGTCCTCCACAGTGTGTGTCTGTGTGTGGTGGGGGGGGGGGGGGAGGGAGGCTGTATGAAGGAGCAATGTCGGGTGAATGGAAGGGAGGCAGAAAAGCTATTATGTTAACGCACACTAGGGAACCTTTAGTGCACACCAGCAGGATCTACATGGACCAGTTAATGTAGGGCATTACCACACCATGTAGACAAGCCATAAAATAATGTTAATATACAACTCTCTATTCCCTCTCACTCCAGACATATTACCAACTCAATTTTATATATAGGAGAAATCACTGGGATGACTTATGAACTAATGTCCTTCTCATCATGAGTAAGAGTGGCAGACATATATAAAATTGCCCAGATAGTGAGATCCCTATCCACGAGGAATTCTGCAGACAGGTTTTACAAAGTCTGCGGGATCCTTTTGAATTGTTTGTTAAAAATACATTGTTTTTGCAAATAATCTGGGATTTACAGGAATTGTTAACATATTTTTGGCTATCTTTCTTCCTTTCCAGCAGTGAAAGAAAATATTGAGGCTTTCTATTGTGTGTGTGTGTGTGTGTGTGTTATATATAATAAAAAAAGGCAAAACAACAACAGCCCCCTCCCCCCCTTTGCTTTTAAGCACCTTTTCTTTGCAAGTCTCAGAGGTAACCAATATATTTAGGTGTCTGTGTGTATGAGTACGTACATACATACATAGAATTTATATATTAACACTTCTATAGTGCTTTTCAGCCATAGATCTCAAAGGGCGTTTAGCATATTTATATGTGCCTATTTGTATGGGTATCCATCTGTTTTAGGGTGACCAGACAGCAAATGTGAAAAATCGGGACGGGGGTAGGGGGTAATAGAAGCCTATATAAGAAAAAGATCCAAAAATCGGGACTGGCCCTATAAAATTGGGACATCTAGTCACCCTAATCGGTTTATATAATCTCTCTAGACTGTGCAAGTGAGATTTTCAGCTAATGTAAATTGGCATAGATCTACTGAAGTAAGCTGAGGTCTGCTGATTTACACCAGTTGAGGATCTGGCCCATAACTATATATATCATATAAGGGGATGATGATAAAGCTGTGATAAACTAACCATTTGATATTGAATTGAGTACAGCTTTGTGCTTTCACACTTGTGTAACTGAGATAAAATTTGGCCCTCATTAATTAGTCCTCACTGCACCCTATAAGTATTATTATGCTTGTACAGAGAGAAAATGAGGTATAGATAGGTTATATGATTTGCCCTAGGTCAAATAATGACAGAGCCGGAATGAAAACCTTTATCTCCTGACTTTCAGGCCAGTGCTGTAATCACTAGATTACAGTCCTCTCCATAAACACTGTATTCCCACAATTAGCAACCCCATTTTTAGATTACCATAGAACTATTACGTGTAAAGGTGTTATGATATGGAAGCACATCAGTACAAATGACTTTTTCAGAATATGGCATATAAACAGATACTTTTCCCAACAGAAACTTGATATAAAAAATAAACATGTTCCTCAGGGCAAGGTTCTGTCTTATATATATTTTATGTGACGTTTCTAAGCACAATGTTTGATGCTATAAAATAACTAGGCAACACTAGAATACATGCAAATTCCACATTGAAGATTCTGATGGTTCATTGCTTGGGGAGTGTGCTCATGGTTGTAGCATCCCTCAGTGGACTGTTACCCTGGTATTAAACCATTCTTTATCTGATATTGTTGTTTTGGTTGTAATTTATATTCTGAAAGCTTTTTGTTGTTTCTTCATCTCTGTTAAATTCACTTTATTTGGCAACAGTGCTAGATTATGTGTCCTGTACAGAATCAGTGAGTCTGGAGCCACTAATTCATATACCTCAGAATACCCCCTTCCAACCCCTCCCCACCTGGCATAAGTGGTGAGTTTTAAAAGGCCTTTGTTATTTCTTTGTTACTTCCTGCAGCTGAAGTGCTGTAATTCATTTCAGCTGTCCTGGATTAGTGCCAGTCGAAGGCCAGTTCTTTGCTAGCTTAATCTTTAATTTGCAGCATCTTAAAACACACTATTATAAGAGTGAACACCAAAAATTGCCTATGTTCTGGGCCTCTGATTTCACAAGTCACAGCTGTAAAGCTGTCATTAAACATTATTACAATGCATCTTTTTCTGTGGAAATTAAAATAGTTAATGCTGAAACGCCACTTGAAAGAAGATTTTTAAACTATAGTACAGAACTATTTATTAACTTGACGTATTTGCTTAAGGCTAAAAAGTGCTTAACTACCCCTCCTCCCCCTTCAGATATTGGTAGCTAGCTGACCCTTGAAAAGCTGCACTCTTTTACGTTATTCTGCAAGGTATCCATGTCATGCATGTAACTGGGAAATAACACTAGATCATTTTTAAAAAGTAATTTTACCACCTTCAAACATACTTCTCCATTGTACCTCATTTCAAGGGAAATCACTCCCTTGTATGTCTACACTGCAATCAAACACCCATGGTGGCAGAGCTGTAAAATTGCAGGGTAGATGTTCAGGCTTGGGCTGGAGCCTGAGCTCTGAGAGTGGGGAAGGTGCCAGAGCTCAGGGTCCAGCATGAGCCCGAACATCTACCCTGCAATTTTACAGCCCAAACCAGCTGACACGGGCCAGCCACGGGTGTTTAATTGCAGTGTAGCCACACCCAAAGTTAGCCGTGTTCCATGCAAACTGGGTGTTTCCCTCAGCTGCTGTTTCCCTCACTTTTATTGCTGAAAATTATTTACATAATCACAACAAAACCATGAATCTGAGCTTATAACAGAAGTTAGTTATATTAAGGACATGAAACCCACTGCAAGTTAAGTTTCCATTGTGAATAATGCTTTGTATCCCTCATTTGGGATCTTTGGGGTATACTGCATTCGACATTTGGATTTTGGCAGGTTGCAAAGTATGGCTTTAATTATTTATAGTATTGTTATTAATAACAAGCACTACAGTAATACATACAATAAATAATGAATAATACTTAGCTCTTATATAGCACTTTTCATCAGCAGATCTAAAAGTGCTTTAAAAAGGAGAATAAGCACCATTATCCCCTTTTTACTGATGGGAAACCTGAGGCACAGAGAAGTGAAGTGTCTTGCTCAATGTCACCCAGCAGGTCTGTGGCAGATTTGGGTATTAGAACCCAGGTCTCCTGAGTCCCAG